AAAAAAAAAAAAAAAAAAAAAAAAAAAAAAAAAGCCCTTCCTGAATGCAATTATTAAACAATTCCACTTGACCCAAACTTCAAAAATAAGTCTAGAGTTCTAGAATATAAAATATTTTGATTTCAAACATAGTTGAGGGAACGTAACTTTTGAACAGAAAACATCAGGTTAAAGTTGCCTCAAACTTACGAAAGCACTGATGTGTAGCCACAGTAACAAGCAGCCAACCTGAACCAGTTTTTATTTAAAATTTAAAAAAAAATTTTCGTTTTCAAAGTTTCTGAAATGATTTATTTTATTTTAATTTATCGATATACAGTGTAGTTAATTTTCGTGTCCCTTAACCAATTCCTCTTTCCTCCCTTCTTCCCCCCGCCCCCCCATCAACATTTTAAATCTGTTCAAAGTCCAGTGAGCGGCCTCACCAACCAGTCCTGGACCCTGCACATGCGCATTGAGGACCCATGNCCCACATACAGACCGGTTCCCACTCACTGGCTGAGTGAGGTGCGGGAGCAGCACCGAGGGTCGTGATCCGTTGCCGGACACGAAAAAAGACAAAAAAACCGAAAAAACAAAAAAAGCCAATGTTTTGTAACAATTCTACTGTTCTAAAGAATGCTTTTTGTAAAATTCCAAATCTTTGCTATATTAACTCAGTTATTCAAAAAAGTCATGAAGTACAAACTATATACGGAGAAATGTATAGTCCCTGCTTCAAAAAACAGGCAAATATACAATCATGATATAATGTGATATATGAGTTAATAAATGAAATATTATATCTACGTGCAAGGAAGCCTTTACAGAAGAGGTAAAATATGAAAGAGGAGTTCACCATGCAAAAAAGTAGGAGAAAGCCATTCTATTTAGACCATGGAATGTGAGCTCAGAGATGAGGCACGTGGAGTATGTGTGTTTCCTAAAACTCAAAGGAAAAGTTAAAATACATGGAAGGAAGTGCTGAGAGACGAGTGCTACACTAAACTTGAATGCTTCAGTGACAGGAGCTCACTGCCTACAAGCAACGACTCTAAGACATAGGAGGGATGTATAGATTTGTGCTACCTTTTTGGTTTTGTTTCTAAATTTAATTGTCATTTAAATGAAGTTTTGAAAATAGCATTTGAGGGCCGGCCCGGTGGCGCACTGCTACAGTGTGCCGCTTGGGAGCATCGCGGCGCTCCCGCCGAGCTTTAGACCATGGAATGTGAGCTCAGAGATGAGGCACATGGAGTATGTGTGTTTCCTAGAAACTCGAAGGAAAAGTTAAAATACACAGAAGCAAGCGCTGAGAGACGAGTGCTACACTAAACTTGAATGCTGCAGTAACAGGAGCTCACTGCCTACAAGCAACGACTCTAAGACATAGGAGGGATGTATAGATTTGTGCTACCTTTTTGGTTTTGTTTCTAAATATAATTGTCATTTAAATGAAGTTTTGAAAATAGCATTTGAGATACATCACATGAAAGAAGAAATCAGGGAACTATCTTGGGGAGAGAGGAAACTTACTTCCAAAATACCCACCTGTTATGTACAGTTCAAAAATAGCACTATTCTGATTAGTTATGATTTGGTTTGAAAATAAAATCATTTGGTAACCTTTGTGTACTTTTAGCCTGGTATCAAATCCTAAGGTAAAAAGCTGGATTTACTGGTAGAAAACTGTATATACCTTTTTATGGAGTACACACATGCATAAGATATCACTATCATATACCTACAAAAATTTACAAAGAGCCTGAAATTTCTCACTGGAGATTAAGATGTTAGGATTTGAGCAAGAGTGGCTAAAAGTAACAACAACAAAATTAACAGTTATTTACAAAAACTATGTGTATAGTTTTTATGTATATAGTTCCAATTAAGACTAAGCACCTAAAAAAAAAAAAAACAAAAAAAAAAAACACCTCTTCCTAAATGCAGTTATTAAACAATTCCTCTTGACCCAAACTTCAAAAATAAGTCTACAGTTCTAGAATATAAAATATTTTTATTTCAAACATAGTTGAGGGAACGTAACTTTTAAACAGAAACCCTCAGGTTAAAGTAGCCTCAAACTTAACGAAAGCACTGATGTGTAGCCACAGTAACAAGCAGCCAACCTGAACCAGTTTTTATTTAAAATTAAAAAAAAAAATTTCGTTTTCAAAGTTACTGAAATGATTTATTTTATTTTAATTTATCGATATACAGTGTAGTTAATTTTCGTGTCCCTTAACCAATTTCTCTTTCCTCCCTTCCTTTCCTCCCTCCTCCTAGCAACATTTTATTTTATTTATTTATTTATTTTTGTGACGGGTAAGGGGATTGCAACCCTTGGCCTGGTGTCGCCCCCTCCGCGGTCAGCCCGTGAGCGCACCGGCCATCCCTATATAGGATCCGAACCCTTTTTTTGGTCTTTTTTTGTTTGTCTGTTTTTCTATCAACATTTTAAATCTATTCAATGTCCAGTGAGCGGCCTCACCAACCAGTCCTTGACCCTGCACATGCGCAGTGAAGATCCATGGGCACCCGGGTTCTCTGCGCATGCGCAGTAGCGCCCCTTCTGAGGTGCGCGTGCGAACTTGTGTTTAATCCCGTTGCTTGGTTACCTTTCTAAACCGTTTCTGCTTCCAGTTGGACTGTTGTGGCAGGAGGGTTGGTCCACCTGTGATAGTGATAATATTGGGCTCCAGAGGCAGAGAATAGCCTAGCGGGAGGAGAGGTGTCTCCGAAGCCCATGGCCTCTATAATGAGCAAGCTTTTTGGCTTCTTTAGTAAGAAGGGCGAGTTGTCCTCCAGCTTGTCCACCAGAGTGAGTGACAACACGGTGGCAGGCATCTGGCGTGAGAGAGAGACAAGCGCCAGCTCTCAGCCCGGGTATCACATCCGAGACAGAGAGCTGCGAAAGATCCACAGAGCTGCCAGCGTGGGTGACGTGGCAGAAGTGGAGAAGATCCTCCGGCGCCAAAAAAGCAGCTTGAATAAGAGAGACAAGAGGAAAAGGTAATAGGGAGTCGGGTAGAGGGGCCCGCGGGGAGGAGGCCGGGCGGATGTGAGAGAAGCCTGCACCTTCCCGGGCTCAGCCTCTCTCCTGTCATCCAGGATGCTGGGCTTTCTACTCTTGGTGCACAGTTATTTCTTTTTTGTATCTGTGATTTCTACAGTGAACAAGTGTAAAAGTTCTAGTACAAAATTATTATTAATGAAATAATCCTTGAGTAGGAACATGAATCTTGCACAGATCAATATAGTTTCTCCTTTTCCATTCATTTTTTTTTGTGTGTGTGTGTGTGGATTAGCATTTTCTGCCAACTTTTAGCGTTGTCAGAAGGGAATCTTTTTATGTGTGCGTGTAGATTATATTATGTGTACATTTAGTTACATACATGTCTTTTTATTATGTATAGATTTGTCACGTATGCAGACAACTATAGGTTAATCTTTCCATTTTACTTGTATTATGAAAATTAAAAATGGCAAATAATAAATGATTATTACTTTTTCAAAAGTATTGCTTTATTTTATGGAAGTTTTCCATAAAAATGTTGAACTCCCCAACAATATTTATCCATTTATTAATCCATTTATTCATCAACCATAACCTGGATACGTATTATGTGGCAGACATATTCTAAGATCTCTCAGAATCCTTCCATCCCTAAAGACTTCATGTATATCTGCCCAGTCTGAGCAAGTTGAGATTAAAATTGAAGTATTAGACAATAGAAGCCTTTCTGAAGGAAGGAAATTGTAAAAGATAACATTAAACTGTCTTTATGAAAATTTATAGCACTATTAAATGCTAATATTAATCACTGGAAATATCTGATTTGCATACATTCTATAAGTCTAAATATTGAAGAAGATGAGCTATACCTATTCATTTGAATCTTGAGTTTTCTTTGGCTTAAAATTTCATGAAAGTAAAAGTAAGAATTACTTTGTTTGGCTTAAAATTTCATGAAAGTTTGAATCTTGAGTTTTCTTTGGCTTAAAATTTCATGAAAGTAAAAGTAAGAATTACTTTGTTTTCAATTTTTTGTTGTTATTGCATTTAATTCAGTGCCTAGAACATGCTTATCAATATCACTAACTGAAACTACTATTACTACTATTATTACCATTATTACTAATATTATTGTTTTAAGCCTTTACGTAGCTCTTACTTATCTGACCCCTAGGTGACTTTGGATTACAATATATTATATCAGACTCGGGAAGAAATGGAGAATTCTTTTCTTAGTTCCGATGAGGAACCTCAGTATAATTTGTTGTCCATCAAAGGACTTAAATTAGCACCTTTTACTGTGTAATACCCCAGTGGGACACAAAGGCTTCCTTTTTGTCCCTTCCATTTAGTCTTGGAGGTGATTTACAGATTAGTACCCAACATGTTTATGTCTGTTAATACCTAAAATGAAGGTATTAAGTCTACACAGACCAGCATGGCATTCAATTGGTA